GCTGAGTGCCGAAGAATGGACGCTTTTGAACTGTGGTGTTGGAGAAGACTCTTGAGAGTCCTTTGGACTGCAAGGAGATCCAGCCAGTTCATCCTAAAGGAAATCAATCCTGAATTTTCATTGGAAGGACTGATGTTGAAGCTGAAACTCCAATATTTGGCCACCTGATGCAAAGAACTGACTCATCTGAAAAGACCCTGATGCTGAGAAAGATTGAGGGCAGGAGGAGAAGGGGACAACAGAGGATGAAATGGTTGGATGGCATTACCAACTCAATGGACATGAGTTTGAGTCAACTCCGGGAGTTGGTGATGGACAGGGAGGCCTGGCGTGCTGCAGCCCATGGGGTCACCAAGAGTCGGACATGACCGAGTGACTGAAGTGAACTGAACTGAAGTGACTAAACAACAATATAACCACAGTGAGATCAAAGTTACAGAATGTAAGATAAACTCTGCCTAGTGCTTCCCTGGTAGCTCAGTCAGTAAAGAACCCACCTGCAGTGCAGAAGACCAGGTTTCAATTCCTGGGTTGGGAAGATCCCCTGGAGAAGGAAGTGGCAAGTCACTCCAGTATTCTTGCCTGGAGAATCCCATGGATAGAAGAGCCTTGGCAGGCTACAGTCCATGGGGTCGCAAGAGTCGGGCATGACTGAGCAACTAAAACCATCACCAGTGTTCCTGGCTTGTAGGATGGAGAAAAGGAGCTATAAACCAAGGGAGCTGGAAAAGGCAAGGAAACAAATTCTCCTCCAGTGCCTCCAGAAAAGTAGACAGCCTTGTGAGTACCTTGATTTTAGCCTGGTGAGACCCAGGCTACAATTCTAACCTACAAAACATAAAAGGTGTGCTGTTGAAAACCACTGAGTTTGTGGTTATCTGTCACAGTAGCAAAAGAAAACGAATATGATCTCTTTCTCTATATAGATATTTAAATAGATAGTAGGTAGATAGATAGATAATATATGTATTTTTTTGTGAAACAAAATTCTTTACTGTCTCAGTCACCAGGGAAGCCCATTAAAGGAAATCGAGTTCAGATAACACAGACAATTAAGGCACAAAAATGCCACACATGTGGACAAGCACTGAAGGAAATGGGAAGAGGAGCTCTGCAGATGCCAGTGTTGCCCCTGTCAGTCATGGAGCAGAATTAACACAGTGCAGTAAGGCAGAATCAGGCTTTCCTGGTTGCTCAGAAGGTAAAGAATTTGGCTGCAATGCAGGAGACCCAGGTTCAATACCTGGGTAGGGAAGATCCCCTTGGAGAAAGGAATGGCTACCTACTACAGCATTCTTGCCTGGATAATTCCACGGACAGAGGAGCCTGTCGAGCTACAGTCCATACGGTTGGAAAGAGTCGGACATGACAGAGTGACTAATACTTTCAGTGAGGGAGAGTCCGAATGAGAGGGGAAAACCCCTCCAAAAGGGGCTGCAGGCCAGTTCTAGGGCCAGACTTCTTCGGTCGCCGTCTTGGCTCTGTCCCTTACTGCAGAGTGAACTCTAGTATGTTTCTTTGTCTCTCTGAAATTTTGATGTGGTACCTACCTGAAAAGTGAAAGGGAAGTCACTCAGTCATGTCTGATTCTTTGCAACCCCATGGACTATGGAATTCTCCAGGCCAGAATACTGGAGTGGGTAGCCATTCCCTTTTCCAGGGGATCTTCCCAATCTAGGGGTCAAATCCAGGTCTCCCACATTGCAGGCAGATTCTTTACCAGCTGAGCCACCCCCTAGCCACCTGAAGGAAGCCCAAGAATACTGGAGTGGGTAGCCTATCCCTTCGCCAGCGGATCTTCCTGACCCAGGAATCGAACTGAGGTCTCCTGCATTGCAGGCAATTCTTTACCAACTGTGCTATCAGGGAAGCCTGGTACCTATGTAATCTGACCCTATGAAGACTGAATGAGAGCCCATGTCAAGCATTTGGCGTGATGACCTGTATGTAGTAAGTGCCCAATAAATGTTTTATTACTAAATGTATTTTATTTCTTCTATTATATAAATATTAGAACCTTAGAGCAGAAAAAGTTCTTTCAAATAAACTGGTGTGCTTTATCCAATGTGAGAATTATTTCTAAATTATCTATGAAAGATGGCCTCTTTACACAAGTGTTTATTACTCCATAAGGCAAGCAACCCTGTAGTTTTAACCTATTTTAAATCTTATACTCCTTTGGGGAAAAAAAAATCTGTTGAAAATTATGGCCCATCCCCTCCTCTTAAATGCACATATTCATATATGAGCACAATATCCCATAGAATTTCTTTGGATACATAGACACACGAATCTCCCATGCAGATCCTGGGATCCCATGGGATAGGAATTCCTATAGCATTATGATAAGCCAAAGACTTCCTCTTCTACCTTTTGATTCTATCCTACTCTCTTTCCCTACATCTACATCAGCCTCTTCAACACCTTTTGTCCAGGGTAGATGACCCCAGTTCCTTCTAAATCATAGCATCATTTGTAGATCCCACTCCATCATGACAGTCTCTTGATTCTCTCCCTTTGTCTTTTTTTTTTTTTTTTTCACTTTCTCTCCAG